CCCCAAAACCCCAAAACCCCAAAACCCCAAAACCCCGTAAAATAATCAAATTATTGAAATATTGGTCAATTTAAGGCAGTGAAGATTGACTTGAGAAGGAAAACTCCAGCTCCTCTCTTTGTTTTCCTGAAATGTTGATTCCATCCACAAGGTTTTTGATACCCATATTAGCTTGAGTAATTTCTTGAATCCTGCTAGCTTTTGCTTCTTCATTGCCACTATCATAATCTTCATCTTCTATTCTCTCGTATGCTTGAATCCTGGTTTTCTTTGACTTCTGTGTTTCTTCAACTTTCTTCTTTATAGCAAGGACTGAGGGTCTCCTGACTGTTGTCACATTACCTTTTGAAAGTTCGATTAACTTAGTTTCAATGTTATTCAGAGCAATATTCTCAGCAGTCAGCACCTTCAGAGTTCTCTCAAGCTTGGATATTAACTTCTTAAACTGGTCAGTGACTTCGTCCTCAAATTGCTCAGCAGCCTGTTTCTCTTTCATCTCTCGTATCTTTCTTTTAATCTGGATCCTTGCTTTCCAGTCAGAGATATTCTTAGTCTCGAGTTGTTGGAAGAGTTTAGGCTTTGCCTTAATCTCTCTGATCTCCTTGATTCGCCTCATTACAACATTTTTGAAGATATTCTCTCGGTTAATAGCAGCATATTTTTCCTGGACTTCATCTTGCCCAAAGTGGCTTTCAGGGAGATTCATGATATAATCAAGCGGGTAAGACTTGTTCTCTTGGAAGAACTGCTTTTGAAACTTTAGGAACTTCTTCTCCAAATCTTCATGAGTTTTACATAAGGTTAATATTTTATCATATTGCAGCTCCAATAGAATTCCCTTGGTCATTAATCTAGTGCAAACTAGGGCTTTATGATCCTGAGAACTTTTACTATGGCTGCCAGGTTTTATTATGAAATCATTCTTCGTACAAAATGTACGGTAATTGATAACTGATCCTTTCCATAGACGCTCTAGTACAAAGTTGCTATTCTCAAATTGAGTATAAAGCTCAACAACTCCATTAACAAGGACATACATAGATGTTGCACTTTCATTAGCACTCTGGAGAACTTCCCCCTTCACACAAAATCTTTTTGTCAAAGTGAACATGGCATCGTACAGTGCTTCGTTGCCAATACCTTGGAAGTAGGGGATCCTCTCTAATGATTTATTTAACAAAGCAAGTCAGTGGATCATCATATTCTGTGTAAATATGCTCTTTAAACATGCTAACTAGAGAAGGATATTCGGTTATCAGCTCATGAAATACCTCGACTGACATCTTTGCAAGCGTTCAGTAATTTTTAGACAAAACTGAAGCCGTCCTTGGGGTATCGTATATCATCCCAATTTCACCGAAGTGGTTACCAGGAAGTAAGTGTCTTACTGTACTAACCTTCTTGTCATGATCCACCACAGTGACTGATCAGACTCCGTTGGCAATGAAGTACATTTCTTGAGATCGTGAGTCCTGAGCGATTATAATATCCTCTGGATTCTTAAGCTCAACAGTAAGATACTTCACAAACTCAAGGATAATTTCTCTCTCTTTTTTATTGATTGCTTTCTCTTTTTCAGCGAGGTTATCTAGCATAAAAAGTGTCTTTGTATATTCATCTAGTGTTATCCTAACCAAATCCTGAATGATCGAATTGTTCTTAGCCACACTGTAAAAGATCTGCTGACTAACATCAATCTTAAGACTTGCTGATAGAAGAGAGAAGAACTGAGCCATCTCTTCTTGCTGTTCTAGAGTTCCTTGAGTGAAAATTAGAAAATCTCTAACCTCTTCCTGAAGAGTATCAGATCTGTTCAATCGCTCACCAGAGCCTCCAGAAAATGGGTTATCTTTGTCATTAACAAACACAGTTTTTCAGTTGAAAATAGAGCTTGATTTTGAATGCAATGGGAATCACAGGTTATTTTAAAGCCGAATTAGTAGTGTCAATCTTCTCCTGAAATTCTGTTTCCTTCCTACTAATTGCTTCTACAAGAACTGCCATTTCTCCGAAAATAAGAGCATTGACGATTGCTGAAAACAGCATGACCATTCCGGTGAAAGCCAATTCGGCTTCGTTGGTTCCTCCAATTTCGTTTCCACCAAATAGCAGAATCGAAATATAAAGGCTGATGGCATACTGCCTCAAGTTGCTGCTTGTGTACAAGTCGTTGTCGTCTCAACTGTAGTACCACAGCGGTGGACACCAGTTTTTGTAATGATTCACGATCAAGAAGTCCAGACAAGCGATGCAGTGGATGTAGATGAACAGCATGAATATTAGATTGAGCACTTTGATGCCAGCCTTGATGTCTTCTTTCATTGGCAAGTTCTTGATGATCTTCGAAATCCTAGAAAGTCTGAACAGTTTCAGAAGCTGGAACGTCTGCAAAATTGAAAGACTGCCCACACTGTCGAGCGGAACTGTAGAAATCAAGTCTACAAAGAGTCTGCCCAACAAATACTTCTTAGCAATTTTCTTGGCGTCAAACACTTCTTCACCTTCTTCATCGTAGTAAGTCGTCCTAAATGTCAGACAAATGTCGATCAAGAAGTTGAAGTCAATCAGAGCGTTGAAGATAATCATGAGAGCATTCTCCGAAAATGACGGCTGGAAAGCAATGTCGTAGGGTATGTACAAAGCGTTCCAGATTGCCAGCAGAATGATCCATCAGTCCCAGTACAGACGGAAGTCACTGCTATATCTGATCATGCACCTGGGAGTTTTCTGCTCTTTACGAGCCACTTTCTTAAGTCTGCGCATGTGCTGAAACTCAGCCATTGAGGCCTTTTTGTCCATTTCCTTCTGGACCATCATTTCGGTAAGGTCAGTGTATTCTGGTAGAGCGAAGGACGCAGAGTTTTCAAGTCTCAAATTTCTGGCTAAAATTTGCTTTAAGATCTTATAAGTGTTTTTAATTTCCTCCAATCTTCTTCATTTTCCTAAGCTCAATTATGGTCTGTTCTTTTATAATATTGTGCTTTATCATAATATCAATCCATTTCTTTTCAGCTGGCTTAAGACGCCTTCCTGGCTGAGGTTTCACCACCTTATAAGTAGGAATGGATGCTTTTCTTTCAAGTTCCTCACTCTCAGCTAGGTCTACTGAGTCAGGAGGGAGTATAGTTATCTCCTGGGGTATATCTCTTTCACTCCCTATCTTGTTTTCCTCTATTTTCTTACTATCACCATCATCTCCATAAATATTCTCCCCTTCTCCTACCAGCTTCCCTTCTGTCTTATCCAGGCCTAAGTTTCATTAAAATATTTTTTAATTTCCAAAAATTTAACCAAAATTTGACTTACACACGCTATGGGAAACGCTGGTGTCAGGTTCATTAGACTCCATTATTTCTATAATATGAGTAAAATTTATTCAAAATAGTTGTCGATAAAAGGGGTTTTGGGGTTTTGGGGTTTTGGGG